AATACATTTTTAAATGTTGATATTAAATATGTTGAAAACTATTAAAAATGCATACTATAATATATAATATATCATCCAATCGATTCAAAATAAACTTCTTTATCTATAAYTTATWTATAAAAACCTTTACATTTTTAAGGTCAAACTACCAGAAGTACTTTAGTTTTTGTCATTCACTAATGTTGTTTTGATGAAAAATYGATGGAGTTTGTAGAGGCTTAATATCAATTCTAATACAATTTCTCAAATCCAGATTTTTTCTCGATGATAAACACTAATATTAATCACTATTATAGTTATCCTGTGAATGAATCAATTCTTTGGAAAAATTATTTTTTAACAGAAATAAAATATTGCACTTAAGGACAATTGAAGAGGCCGTGTTGTAAATATTTAATTTGACTAATATTTTACTTTTTACATTTTTGCACTGATCTTAAAAATAGTTAAGCCGTGAAGAAGAAAGGTTAACTTTCCATTCTGTGAGGGGGATGATTGTGGGAACAGCGACCTCCATTGATTTTTCGTTGCCAACACATCGAGTATATTCGGAAAATATGATTGCTTCCGCAAGTTTGGCCATGTGGCCAGACTGTAGTAGCCGTGGAATATTCTAGAAATTTACCCATGGAAGGTGAGGCCTCACCTGTGCGCATGCTAGATATCCAGCATCGATGGTGGGTAGAGCTTTGAGGTGCCACTAATTGATTTCTGGTCCCGTCGACCAACTGCTATATGAGCTCATATATTCACTYCCAGGAGGGCCGTGTGTAAAAGAATAGAGTGTAAGCAAACGGACTCGATCGATTTGTGATGTGTTGGAGGGTTGGCGAGGGAAGCCGTTACCGTAACAACGAGGGTGATTTACCTAGCTGGCATAGGAAACGCGAGCGACGCGCACTCTCGAACAATTCACCACCCACCCCAGGCCATGTTGAAGTAAGCTCGTTGTATCCCGGATGCTCCCTGGACATCGTCAGTTCTTCCGAGTTCCCCGCCAAAGTAGTTTGACTGTTGCTATGTTAGCTTTATGCACCAAAGTGCCACACCCAACATCCATAACTTATTTCCAAATAACCAAAAGTCGTTTATATTTCATAGCAGCACTCACGAAAACCATGCAGTGCTAAATTATTTTGCTTAGATAAAAGTATTATGCTTTACCGACGGCTAGTCGTTTTAGTTGTATGCTTTACACGTGTCTTCAAGAATTTACATATTATGCCTCACTAACGAATTGCAAACGTATTACTGCTAACTACGGAAGGTTAGGTGCTGTTACGTGCGGTATGACTTTACGTAATTTGCAGACCAAATTTCCGAGACTGGATTCAAGTCTTGTTGTTGTATGAGCTTCCACCGATTCTAGAAATTAGCTTCGGGCCCGTCAAAGTGTTACTGACCAGTGTCACCAAAGTTATGAAACATATACATATTTATCTCAAGCACAAGTAAGTTTACATAATATACTGCTATTGGGCTATGTAGAGGGTGGACAAAATTTAACATCATAATTCATAATCTTAAATGATTTATAAGTTATTGCATATTGGTTATAAGTTAGTACTCGTGACGTTGTATATTATAATATAATTAATCATACCAATTAATCAAGATGACCAAAACCACTAACATTTAAATATTTATCAAAATATGATTTTGTGCTTGCTTATCAATGGATCTAAAAGTTAATTGATTCATTTTGGGAAATATAGTTTATATTATTTTATTCTATCATATTATTCAAATAGTTTTTAATAAAATATCAGTAGATACGTATGTTATTATCATTTAATTTCTATGTCGAATTGTATTGAATTTATTTTCCGAATTGTTGGGAAGGAGGAGCTGTGATATTGCTCATACTTGGGCTACTGTGAACGTTGACTGTATTGATCAATAACGAACACAGCCATTTTCAAGCGTAGTGGAACTTTCACATTTCCGCAGTATTCCGACACTTTGGCCGCCAAATTTCTTTCTCACACCCCTTCACCCTTGCCAAGTAATAAGCGTAGCCAGTAATCTTGGGTTCTACCTGACAATTTCATCGTCCTTAGACACAGCCAATCGTAGCTGATGGTAACRGAGATCGATCACAAATCTTGCGCAGTATATTTCAACCACCACCCACCACCCACCATATTTTGACTGTACCACCMTCATTCCCAMYCAAAAACTTTCTTGCAAGCTATGCCAGTGTTGCCAATTATTCAAAATCATATTGTTCGGTTTTATTATATATTCTACATTAATTTATGGCAATGATAGTCATCGAAATTATCCCATCCCTGATACTCATAACATTATTGTTTGATTTATTTTACTTTAGTCTAGTCTAGTTCATATTTGTAATTAGTTTTATTAAAATTACCTACTCATATATTCTTATTAACATGGCTTTTATAATTCGATTGAATTATTTGTCCTTATTATATTTTTTATTTTATAACTAAAAGTTATAATGCAATCTTTTATAACATTGCAATTCATTTTTTCCTTCATACGAGCATATTCAAATATAAACCTTACAAAGTTACAATGTAATTAATATAATATTATATAGATTATAGTAATCAGTGGCGTATTTATTGGGGGTTCTCAGCCGAAAAAAAAATCTGGAGACGTCATATTTTAAACACATCAATATCATAATAATTTTAGTTCGATTATTTTATTAAGTATAATGAAGAAAACAAATATTTCAAAATAAATATAAATAYCACTAATAATTAAATTGAAATCGAATTATAGTAATAGTAACCATCGACTATTCGTTACTCACACACAAATAGTTTATAAGTAATCTGATGTGAGGAAATTATCGGTTGATAAGAATATCRATATCTTTAGATTGTAAATACGCACCCATAATAATGCATTACATCTTTTATTATTTCGATAGAATTCTGTTATATATAGCAGTTGCTCCCTCTGRTCGTTTATCTTTGTACCACTGCTTGCGTCAGATCTACGTCTCTTTTAACCTAGTTAACAATGGTCCTCTTATTGTATAATCTCAAACGATCTAATGGTTTTTTATCTGATGAGTTATTATCTATAGTACAGTAAAACTTCCTTATTACGGAAATAAGTACCTACTGTTGAATGATTTACAGATTCCTTTGATGTTAATCTTGGTAGTATTTTTTCATCACAGTTTTCTGTTGGTGGGGACTATTTGAGGAGTAGAAGTGTATTGAGGATCAAGCTCTAATCGTAATGCTWTATTACCATTGGCCACAAGGTATACGAGGAATTGCTATACCTCAATCTAATGTGAAAGCCAGTCTACACCACTAGAAACAAGAGCCTTGTTATGGAGACACTTAACGATTACCGTGAATGGTGAAAGGGAAGTATGTAGATACCATTTTACCAGCTCATAGAAACCAAATTATGAACATAGATTGACGCTAGATGCTGGTATGTACCTATTTTCCTCCGTATACGTATCTAGCAAACCTTAAAGAGATCCACCTCCTCATTATACTGTAGATATCAACACACCACTCTCTAAAGGTATTTCTTTAACAAATAAAAACTTAACAAGCTGAGTGACCAATAAACATTATTAGATAGGAATTAAATTTATTATTTACATCATCATTAACTTCTAATTATTGTTCATTTAATGCCTTATATAATATAAAGTATAATTTATTTACTAAATGATGATTTTTATGACCATATACTTTTARCTAGTAATTATCATATTAGTAAATACAGGGCAGTAGGTAATATTAATTAAGTGTATGAAATTGAAATGAAAAATCACTCGTTATTAATATGAAAAAATATGTTTATTTCAAAATAAAACTTAGTACCTAACATCAAAACACATGCATGAGTTATATTTTAAATAATAATAAATGTAAGTATAATAATTTGATTATATATATAAATAAAAAAAAAATAATAATAAAAGTATTATTTAAAAAAAAAAATATATATATATAATCGTTTAATATTAAATCATAAAATACATATTATAAAAAAAGTTTAAAAAAGTATTTTTATTTAATTTTTTAATTAAAATTTTAAAAAATCATGCTTAATATTATAATATAGGTTGTCTACTATGTTATTTGAATGAACCTATAAATATAATAATATGAAATGTATATGTGGTAATAGTGTTATACACGTATACACCAGGCCTAACCTACTCTAACTATATAACTAATTAAAATTAAAATTAAAATTAATATATTTATTATTAAATCATTGTACGCTTTTTCAATGAAAAGTATTTCAACAATGGATAATTTTATAATAGTTATGTGTGAAAAAATATTATATGTTTTTATATTATAAATGTATACATTATAGACCTATTTATTATATTCAAAATGAAATTAGTATCGGGCGACCAATTTCTACGCAGTAGCGTAATTTCGGAATATATAGACGTTAGAATTTCGGTCTCGTAATTGAATATTTTCAAGCGACTCGGTCACATCATCTTGATCGCGACTCGGTCACATCATCTTGATCGCGACAAAGTAAATACCCTGCCACTTTTTCGTACTGATTTCATTTTGAATAGAATAAAGTCGGCAAATCAATCATGCGTTTGTAAAAATTTTAGGTTATGTTTTGTCGTTGTAAATATTTTGTTTTCGTTTGACCAGAAATTTAATTGAAAAAGTGAAGGACTATACTATCTATTTGTCCTGTAATTAGAATAACCGCTAGAAGTATGATAATTGTCTTGTCGACTACGGTTCTTATACTATGGTTAGTCTTAGCAGTTGGACGACGAGTTTGTTCATTCTGACGTGATGTAAACGTAGCTCCTGTGAAAATATAACATTTGTAGTCAAAGAAAAATCTGAGTATGTTTAATTAACAGTAAAGTGATTCTACGTCATTGAATACAAAATTATGAAATTTGAAATCAATTACTACACAAATTAGATAGTTATTAGAAGTCATCGTCAATTAGACTGCAAATAGAACCAGTTTGGCCTACATTTTATTGTCGAAATATTATAATGTAGGTAATTAAAGTATTTCCAACTAAATTTTAAAAATTAATACCAACCATTACCACCGGTGTTCCTGCCTTTAAGGATAGGCATCATAGTAGTTGGAGCTTGTGCCACTACGGGAACAGGATGTGCAGCGTACCATGCTCCTCTTCCRTTATCGGCATCGGGAATGGACGGAGAAATTTGCTGGGGTTTAAGGGAGTACCATAAACCACCACCAGTGTCTTGTGATTGTTCTGTTGATCCTTTACATGCACCTGAAAACAGTATGAAATTTTTCATCTTAATGAGACTTGAGATTGAATTAGAGTATCTCGAATAGTGTAATATTATAATACGCGCAAGTTGATGGAACACAAGGAAACGGGAGGAAAAATTTATAATTATTTTTTAAGCAGGAAATTAGTAAATTTTATAAGAAAAAATGAGAAATATGACAATAGAACTAACCCAATTATATATGGGRTGAGCATGCTTAAAAAATCACTCTGTATATATATTAATTTTATAATATACAGATTGAAAATCTTATCAAAAATGAAATTACATAATGGTCATTAATTATTACCTTCTTTCTTAACTTTGGTTCCGACTAACTTCATGCCAGAGCGGTACGGGTCCGAAAGACGACTGCATTTAGAATTTGTTCCTGCTTCCGTAAGTAATATTGTGGTAGTGGTTTCAGGATTTAAACCTTCGTCATTGGGTATTGGAGTTCCAACAAAACATTCATACTGGGCCCCTTCCTTGGTGATTGGATTTAAACGTTTTACGTACGTATACGTCAACATAATTGATTTTTCACCAGCTTCCGGGCTTATTTGTTGCTGTGGTTCGGTCCATTGGCCGAGGCATTGGTATTCACGTTCTGCATAAAAAACATGTAATCAATTAGCACAAATGTATTACACTATATGATTATTATGATTATGAAATTATAAAATTACGTGCATAAATATTTTTTATTATTAAATACTGTATTATTCATAGACATATCAAGCAAATGTAAAACACAAAAGTGAAATAATAATATGCATTTTTAATTCAACGATTCGGATGAAAAMGAATTTTAACTATCGTTTTATTTTAAATCAATCCATTATCATAATAGGTGTGTGGTTTAAAAAATGTAATGGTGTCTGCAGTGATAAGTATTTCGCATAATAATGAAACACATATAATGCCATAATGGTGATAGTGTAATGGTTGTAGTGGTTCATAAAGGGGTAAGAGATAAACATAAATGTGAATACTAAGTTATATTTGTGAAGAATTACACACAGATTATTGTTGGTAGAAGTGATTAATGTGCTGATGATGGTGAAGATAAATTGCTTGTTGTCAATTATGGTTTGGTAACCATAGTAGGTATACCTTGATAATACCGGCTTTCAGACTTAGGCTGCAATTGATACAGCTGAGAAGAGGTCTTAGTAGTCAGCGTTGGCAGATAGTAGTGATTTGAAGGTTTCTGTTGACGGCGTGGGTGTAGTGGCAGTGGTGTAGGCATCGAAACGGCGATGGTACCTTGCTCTACGTGCAGTGGCGGCAGTGGTACGGGCGGTAGTGACAAGATTCCACCCAGACCACGGTTGTTTTGCTGCTGACGCTGCTTCTGCAGTTGTTGTTGTCTTTGATGTTCTTTTTCTTGTTCTTGCTGTCGTTGCTGTTGCTGGTACCACCAGTACTGTTGTGCTGCCGTCGTCCAACCACCATTGTTACTACTATTAATTCTAGAAGAGCTGTTCCAAGCAACTTGTGCGTTTCGGTTATTATCACTTCCTCCACCACCACTTATGTACAACGGTCGGTCACCACGAACGTTCCAACTACCACTGTTTGGATGTTGAAGCGTTATTGACGAGTCATGTGGTGGCTGCAGCGTTTGTTGCTGTTGATCAGTGTTGTATTTATGGTTATCATAATTTTGCTGTTGCTGGCGATAATAATAATTGCCTATCCTGTGTCCACCACTATCCATTGTCTGACGTTGATTGTTATTACTATATCCGTTGGCAGTAATAGGATGTTGTTGAGGCAACCAATGTGGTTGTGTTTGTGGATGTTGCTGTTGATGAGAATAATAATWATTATTATCCGTACCGATATTACCAGGTGGTGTGGGGGGATAATATTGTTGCCGTCCTCGGTAATAATAATCGTTATTGTTATTATTCGATTGTTCGGGTTGTTTCTGCCACTGCTGCTGTTGACGAGCGTGATAATCGGTAACCGGGTGATAAGATGCAGTAGTAGGAACAGTAGCCGTAGAAGTAGAAGGAGAGGTTGCAGTAGTTAATAATTTTGAGAGTGACGGTATTTGTTGATCGATAGAAATCATCTCATGTGGTTGAGATATAGCTGGCGAGAAGGTGGTAGTAGTAGTAGAAGTAGTAGTAGTAGTAGTAGTGGTAGTAAAATTAGAAGGGTTCATAGTAGTAATGTCTATGGACGGTTGAATTCCATTTCTGCTGGATATCGTAGAGGACGGATCCATAGCGGTCAAGAAGGTGGTTGTTGGCCCAGTCGTTTGGTGGTTGGTTATGTTGTTTATCACCTCTGTMGAAGTGTTGTGACTACTAAATTTCAAGATCGGCATGTTAGATGATGTAGATGTAATAGCCACAGATGAAGCGACGGTCGACGTATCTGTTGGAGCCGAGTGTCGTTTGTTCCTCCTCCAACTTCCACTGACAGTGTCTCCTCCCGATGCTGCTAATAGTTATCACCATCAATGTGCATAAATAAAGTACACATATACGATAAATATGAAATGAACAAATACGAGTAGGTAGTATACTTAATAACTTTATTTCTAAAAAAAGCGGGTAAGTCGTGGATGTCGCTCTGCTGTGCAATAGGTCAGTAAGTTACAAGTGGGTTACTGTAATGGATGGAATTTAAATTTGAATCCAATGATGTTATATCATTGTATACGAAAAACGATTCTGAGCGGAAACGGTTTATCTGTCTAGGATATGTTATAGATTATTAAAAATTTTCAAATCTTAGATTTAAAAAGAAAATTT